AATTTGGAAGTTTTACCTCCATTTCTATTTTTTGAATGAATCAAGTAGTATTGGATGTAGGTCTTTAAATGTCTGGTAGAATTTTGTTGTAAATCCATCTGGCCTTGAGCTATTTTTAGTCGGGAGGTTTTGTATTACAGTTTCAATTTCTTTTTGTGTTATGGGTCTGTTTAAGCTATATATCTCTTCTTGGTTTAGTTTTTGTGGTTCCCATGCCTTTAAATACCCGTCCATTTCTTTTAGGTTTTCAAATTTAGTAGCATATAGATTTTTAAAGTATTCCCTTATAATGTTCTCGATCTTTCTGGTGTCTGTTGTCATGTTTCCCCTTTCATCTCTGATTTTTGTTTATTTGGACGTGCTCATTCTTTCTTTTGGCAACTGGGCTAGCAGTTTGTCAATCTTGTTTATCGTTTCAAAGAACCAGCTCTTGGATTCGTTGATTCTTTGTATTGTTTTCTTTGTTTCAATTTCATCAATTTCTGCTCTGATTCTAGTTATTTCTTCTTGTTTGCTGGGTTTGGGTTTCATTTCTTGCTGCTTTTCAAGTGTCTTAAGTTGCAATGTTAAGTAATTTATTTGTGTTCTTTCTGATATTTTAATGTAGGCACTTAGATTTATGAGCTTCCTCTAAGGATGCTTTCAGTATGTCCCAGAGGTTTTGTTGTGTTGTGTTGTCCTTTTCATTTAGTTCCAGGAATACTTTTATTTCTTTCTTAATTTCTCTTTTGACCCATTCATCATTCAGGAGTGTGTTGTTTAATCTCCATGTATTCATGTAGTGACTAGAGTCCCAAGACAAGAAATGGGACAGTATCCAGGCTAGAAGGAGCAACAGGCTGGGGAAGTGGGTGGGTGAATGAGTCTGGGGGAGTAAAGGCTCGGAGGGTGCCAATGGACTTACCCAGGAGAGAGGCTGGCATGTTGTGCAGGCCCTGGGAAGCCATAGATTTTATTTTTAAATATGTTTAGATGTGTGTGTGTGTGTGTCTGTGTGTGCATATATGCACCAGAGTATGGGTTCCTGTGGAGTACGGAGGAATTTGATTCTCCAGGAAATGGAGTTACAGGCACTTGTGAGCTACTGGACATGGTTGCTGGGACTTGAACTTGGGTTTTTGGAAGAGCCACCAGGCCTCTGTTCTAGTTTATTCTCCATTGCTGTGACAAAATACTCTTAACCGTTACCAACTTGGGGAGGAAAGGATTTATTTTACTTATATCTCCTGGGACCCAATTCCTCAGGGAGCTCAAGGTAGGAACTCAAGGCTAGAACCTGGCATAAGGAGCTGGAAAACAGGCCATGAAGGAAAGCTGCTTACTGGCTTACAGTGTGCTGGGCCCTCCCACATCACTTAGCAATCAAGAAAAAGCCCTATAGACATAGTCACAGGCTAGTTCAAAGGAGGTAATTCCCTATTAGAGGCTTCTTCTCCCCAGGTTGTCAAGTTGATAACTAAAGCTATTTAGCAGAAGCCCTTACACTGAGCCATCTATCCAGCCCTACACTGGTTTGTATAGTGTCTGTGGGTGAAAACACCTAGCTCTAAGCAGGAAATAATTTTTAAAAATCTGCTAAGTGTTTTATATTCTTGAATATTCTGAAGTGATTAAGAACATATACAGTTTATGACTTGGCTTCATCTCCCTTTCTGGACATACTTAATGACTTTTTAAATCAGGGTTATACAGGTTCACTGGAGAAAGCAGTGATAAATTTTCTTTTCTCACACTGAATAGTAAAAAGCACCACAGTATGAATTATGGAAGAGAAAGCATAGTTAATTTTAACCTTCCTTCAGCCCATTTACCTTAGTTGATAGTAGCTAGCCAAAGCTCTTTACTCATTTATGCATAATGGGACCTAAGGTTCCATTATGGTTCCTTAATAGCATGGCTCAAGATACTTAATAACAAAGAACCTGAATAAAATATTTTAAGTTTGCATGATTTGCTTCATCGTCTACCTTTTTTTTTTTTTTGGTCTTTTCGGAAGCTTGGTCTCCCTGTAGCCCCAGCTGTCCTGGAACTCAATGTGTAGACTAGGCTGGCCTTGAACTCACAGAGATCCACCTGCCTCTGCCTCCCAAGTGCTGGGACTACAGGCATGCACCACCAAGCCTGGCTTTTGTCTATCTTTTTTTAAAAAAATATTTTTATGTGTATGAGTGAATTGCCTGCATGTATGTAAGTGCACTGATGTTGTGCAGTGCCCACAGAGGTCAGACAGAAGAGGGTGTCAGATCCCCTGGAACTGGAGTTATAGATGGTTGTTAGCTGCCATATAGGTGCCCAGCACCAAACCCTAGTTCTCTACAAGAGCAGCCAGTGCTCTTAACTGCTGAGCCATCTCTCCAGTCCCTTCATTTTATTATTATTAGAATAATCTAATTATTAGATTTACTATTTATTAGAATTGATTTCCTTTTTTTTTTTTTTTTTTGCATTACTGAGACAAGGTTACCCTGAGCCCCTGCTGGCCTGGAACTTGCTGTGTAGACCAGGCTGTCCTTGAACTCGCAGAGACCAGCTGCCCTGCCTCCTGAGTCCTGAGATTAAAGACATGTGCCACCACACTGGACCAGAACTGATTTACTTTAAAAAAAAAAAATTATTATATGTGAATGAATGAGTTGCCTGCATGTGTATATGTATGTGCACCCATGTCGTGCAATGCCCAAGGAAGTCAAGAGGGCATTGGATCCCTTGGAACTGGAGTTACGAATGATTGTTAGCTGCCATGTGGGTGCGGGGAACTGAACCTGGGTCCTTTGCAAGAGCAGCCAGTGCTCTTAACCGCTGAGCCATCTCTCTGGCCCCCATAGAACTGATTTACTTTTTAAGAGGAAGCCATATTTCTAATTTCACATTTTTTTTCCTCAACAAACTTTTCTTTCTTATTCCACTCTATAATACTGTTTTCATTTGCTGTTTATAAGTACTAGGTATGCTCCTGTTTAGGGGTTCCCATTTACTCTTCACTCTACTTGGAGTTCTCTTCCCAACACATCTGGGTGACTTCTTCCCCTCTTTCCTTTACTTATTCTCCTCCCTTCTTCTCTTTTACTTTTCCTCCCTCCCGCTTTCTTCCCTTGTTCCCTTCATAAAAATGTTACTGTCTTGAGGACACCTTATTAAACTACACTTTATAAAATTGTGAACTTTAGGGGGCTGGAGAGATGGCTTAGCAGTTAAGAGCAGCGACTGCTCTTGCAGAGGACCCGGGTTCAGTTCCCAGCACCCACATGGTGGCAACGAACCGTCCTTAGCTCCAGGGGAATCAGGAGCTCTCTTCTGTCCTCTGCAGCATTGCACGACACAGGTGCCCTCGCATGCATGCAGGCAATGTACTCATACACACAGGGTAAAAACAATAAAATATTTTTTAAAATGTTAAAATTGTAAATTAAAAAAAAAATTAAAGGCATGTGTGTCTGCTTGTCTATGTGTATACCATGTGGAGACAGAAAGAGGATCCCTGGAGGATCCCCTGGAACTGGAGTTACAGGCAGTTATTAGCTGCCATGTGGATGCTAGGAATTGAACCTGGCTTTTTTACAAGAGCAGCAAGTGCTCTTAACCACTGAGCCCTCTCTCCAACCTCAAGATTGCAAGCTTGTTTGTTTGTTTTGTCTTTTTGAGACAAGGTGTCCCTGCAGCCCCAGCTGGCCTGGACCTCACTATGTAGACCAGGCTGGCCTTGAACACAGAGATCCACCTGCCTCTGCTTCCAGAGTGCTGGGACTGTAGGCATCTACCACCAAGCTGGGCCTTGTAAGTTTCTTACCTGATGTTCTGCTTTGTTTTTCTTCTTAGACCTATCACCTTTTGCTATGGTGATTTATTATTTATTTATTTATTTATTTTAATTTGTGTAGTTGTGTATTGAATAAACAGATAAGCAATGATATAACAAATACAGGTCTTATAAAGATTTTTTAAAAGTAAATGCTTGTTTACAACAAAAATGTGTTACTTTTCTAAAATATAGAATAGGATTCCAATAAAACAATTTAATAAAACAAGGCACAATGTTTAAGGCAAAATTCACAACGGTCATATGAGATTATATAACATTAAGAATCTATTTTTCATGTCCTGGGGGAAGAGGGGAGGAGGCACAAGATCTGAAATAGTTTAAATACTATTTTTAGAACATTTTATGCTAATTTACTTATTGTTAATTTCTCCCTCCTAAGCCAGTCCCTCCAGGATGTACATTATTTAACTGGAATGTCGAGAATCTTGTTCCTTCTTTCATGTCCATATTTCTTTGGTATTACAAAAATGCCTGGTAGTAGATATAGCATTCAGTATTTGTAAATGAATAAATGAAATGATACTGAAGGCAAGTGGCAGCAGAGGGCAACCTTAATGTATGCAGAAGAGGTTGTGATTAAGGATAAACATACAAACCCTGCATTTAGTGTAATTGATATGTATTACATTTTCTGTGGCATTATTTCTTAGTCAATCTAACGTTCCTTCTGTCTGTATGGCTTTTTCTATAGTGCCTTGCATTGGATTTTAAATTATCTGTTTTTAATCTATCATTTTATCCAAGAAACTGTCTTAGAGACATTTTCCATTGTACATTAACTTGATGTTATGGCATTGACCTCTTTGGAGAGTCTAGGAAAAGCTTTGGAACCCTTTTTAGAAAAAAGTGTGTACATAAAATATTTTTGGGATAGATTTAGGGGTCTTATTTGTCTTGGCAGACTAGAAGCTCCTCGTTCTCAGTGTGAACCACTTATGACACAGAATTTCATTTTCTCAGTGGACTCAGGATCCTGCTGTGGAAATTTATTTACTTTTTTAAATGTATGGCAATTGTACATTGGAGGAACTGCTGCTTGGAGAGTCAAATCTTTGATTATTAACTGCAGTGAGATCATTCAACACTGGAATTTTAGGATTGCTGAAGGTTGAATTCTGAAGTGACTTAGAGGCCCAATTTGATATTAGAATGACTGTATCTCAATATTATTTCACATCAGGCAGAGCTCAGATAGTGGGAAGACTCGGACCAAACTTACAGTAGAAGAATTGAAGGCCTTTGTCCAACAACTTTTTAGTCTTCCCTGTGTCATCAGCCAGACGCGACAAGTAAAGGTGAAGTATTACATTTTTTTTTTTTTTTTTGTGCAATAGTTTTTGTATATGGGATCCTGTTCTGACTTACACAAATGGACTTTTTGGACTAGTGTTGGGTTCTGCTTATCCAATTTTCTCATGTTTATGTTTTAATTATGTATGAGTGTATTGCCTACATTTGTGTAAGTGTACCCATGTTGTACGTTGCCTGCAGAGGTCAGAAGGGGCATCAGATTTCCTTGGAACTGGAGTTATAGATGGTTATTAGCTGCCGTGTGAGTGCTGGGAATTGAACTTGGGTCCTCTACAACAGCAGCCAGTGTTCTTAACCTCTGAGTGTTCTCTCCAGCCCCAGCCTTTATTCTTTTTAAAATTATGGAACTATGAGCCAGGTGTGGTGGTGCACACCATTAATCCCAGCACTTAGAGGCAAGCGGATCTCTGTGAGTTCAAGGCCAGCTTGGTCTACATAGTAAGTTCCAGGCCAGCTGGGGTTACTAGGAGACCCTGTATCTAAAACACCAACAACAACAAAAAAAGGAACTATGATGAATTTAGGATTATTTTTTATATTAATTTTAGGTTAGATCTCCTATTTTAACATATGTAGCTAAAGTGAAGTGTTAGTTAAAAGAATCAGAGTGAGCTGAGTATGATGGTATGCACCTTTGAATCCCAGCATTTAGGAGGCAGAGGCAGGTGGATCTCTGTGAGATTGAGGCCAGATTGGTCTATGGAGGGAGTTTCAGACCAGCTGGGGCTACAGGAAGATCCTGTCTCAAAAAGAAGAAAAAAATCAGAAGAATCAGAGTGTAGTGGCAAGTTACTAATACATGAGTACATGAGCTTTTAAAATGTAGGACCCTGAGATTCCTTGGACTATTATTTAATTAAACATGTAAAAGTATATTTCAAGTAGTTAGTTTGCACAGTTGATAATTTTGATGTTTGTTTGTTTGTTTGTTTGAGGAGGGAGTATTGAGGTTAATTGGCTTACAAGATCTTAGTATCAACTGTATTCTTGTTTTACCCCATTTTGTAAGAACATTTTGATAGCTGACTATTCTTTTGACAAGGGCTTTTCTTCTAAAAGTATTTGGGACACCACAATTTGCTTCACTTTTCTGCTTTTTTTCTTCTTGGCTTGAGTAATAAGGGCTGGACTATACTAGAAGGTGAACCCTTTTTTTCTTTTTCCCTCCCTCCCTCTGTCCTTCCCTCTGAGACAGTGTCTCACTATGTAGCCCTGGCTGGCCTGGAGACCAGACTGGCCTCGAACTCAGAGACTCACTTTCCTCTTCTTCCAGAGTGCTTGGATTAGCCTGACCCCTTTCTTTACTTTATGTGTGGCCTCTCCTGATTATCTTCTTGTTTGTCTGAAGTCAATATCACCTATGTCATATTGATCCTTAAATCCCCAGCTCCAACTGCCTTTTTCCTACAAACCATATATTATGATGCGTACTCTGTATTTCTTTTGGTAAACTAAAAGGCATTTTAAAGGCCTTTTCTTGAGTTAAAATCATTAGTTCCTTCATTTTCCATATATCTTCCATTCTTTAAACAAGTGCCATTATTAGCTCTAAACCATATCGCATAGTGAACCTGTTTCTCTCTTATTGCTTAAATTATGCTCTGTACCTTGGATTACTGCAGTACCTCTTAACTGCTTTCCCTTTTCCTTTTTAGTCAAAATGGTCATCTCAAATAGAAACCAAATCAGAGTCCCTCTCTGTGGTTAAAATCCTTCAGTGGATCTCCAAAGCCATAGCATGGACTGTAGTCTAAAAGACATTAAGTAATCTGACCTCTGCTTATTCTTTGATTGCTACTTCATCTGCTTATAGCAACACATTCAGCTTATTCCTCTTTAAAAATTGTGTAATTAGTGTGGCTGCGGCTGTCCACTAACTCCGTTAGTTAGTAGAGTGCTTGCCTAGCGGGTGTGAAACCCTGGGTTTGACCCCCCAATATCAGATTAAAAAAGAAAAAATTAGTGTGGTGTCAAGTACTTCCAATCTCAGCACTCAAGAGATGGAGATGGGAGGTTCAAGGTAATCATCAGTTCCATAGCAAGATCAAGGCCAGCCTCTGGGACATATGAAACCCTGTCTCAAGGGCGGGGCAGTCAATATCTGCCAGGCTTTGACCTTTTCCACTGGATCTTATAGTTCCCATGCCCACCTTCTCCTTTTAATCTTTTGTCTTTCTTTTGTTCTTTGCTTTTTCTGTCTCTGTCTCTTTTCTCTGTGCTTTCTTTCTTTGGTATGCATTCATTTGTTATATGCTTATGCACATGTGTGGCATGTGTTTGTACAGAGGGGTGTGTGTATGTGTATATGTAGGCCAGAGATGTCTTCCTCAGTCATTCTCTATATTGACAGAGGCAGGGTTTTTCTCAACTTCGTTTGCTAAGGCAGGGTTTCTCACTGAATCTGGAGCTCATCTGTTAGGCTAGTCTACCTAGCCAGCTTGCCCTGGGGATTCCCTGTCTCTGCCTCCTGAGCCCTGGGAATACAAGCAATCTGCCACACCTGCCCCACTTTTTATGTGGGTGCTAGGCTTCTGAACACTGGTTCTCACGCTTATTTACCAAGAACTTTATCCGTTGAACCATCTTCCTAAATACTTCATTTTAATTTTGGTTTATCCTCCTATGTAATTGCCCCTGCTAAGTAATATGCCACCTCTGCCTCTGGTCACTCTCTGTTCTGTGTGTGTTTTTTTGTTTGTTTTGTTTTGGTTTTTGAATGCCTAACACTAACTGAAACATTTTATTCAGATCTTTAATGTCTGTCCACCTATTTAATTAGAGTGTATGGTGTCTGGCAAGATGGCTCATTGGGTAAAAGCATTTGTCATCAAATCTGAGTTCCATCTCCAGGACTTACATGGGTGAAGGAGAGAACCACCTCCCACAAATTGTCCTCTGCCCTCCACATGTATGCCATGGCATGCCTCCTCCCAATCAATCCATCAATAAGTAAATAAATGTTAAAAGAAAAAAATTTTAAAATGTATAGTTCTTTCATGGCACAGACTTCAAAGAACCCATCTTGTTCAATACTTTGTGCCTAAAACAGTGTCTGCATCTAAGTTAGTAGTCATTAAATATATATTGAATGCATCAATTGTACTTTTTTTGTCATAAGAAACACATTTTATTGATTCAGCCATTTTTTTTAAGAGTATAAATAGAAATTACCAGGGAACATACTTACTAATTTATCATGTTGGAATATTTGCTGCTATGCTGGTGAGATTATAAAAGGGTCAAGAATTGATAGTTTGCCTGAACTATGTCTAGCATATACATAGTCATTTTGTACCTTTTTAAAAAAAATTTATCTGGGGTTGGAGAGATGGCTCAGTGGTTAAGAGCACCAATTGCTCTTGTAGAGGACCTGGGTTTGATTCCCAGTATCCACATGGAGGCTAACAGCCATCCATAACTCCAGTTCCAAGGGCTCTGACACCCTCCTCTGACCCTCATGGGCATTGCATGACATGGATACACCTACTTACATGCAAGCAATATATGCATACACATAAAATAAAAACAAATTTTTTTTTTTTTTTTTTTTCTTTTTGAGACAGGGTCTCCCTGTAGCCCCAGATGTCCTGGAACTCACTAGACCAGGCTGGCCTTGAACTCACAAAAATCTGCCTGCCCCTGCCTCCCAAGTGCTGGGATTAAAGGTGTGCACCACCATGCCCAGCTAACAAAATATTTTTTAAATTTATTTTATGTATATGAGTATTCTGCCTGCATGTATATAAGTGCACCATGTGAGTACAGACTCAGGGAGGCAAGTAGAAGGCATCAGATCCCCTGGAACTAGAGTTACAAATGGTTGTTAGTCACCGTATGAGTGCTGGGAACTGAACCCGGGTCCTCTGCAAGAGCAGTTCGTGTTCTTAACTGCTGAGCCATCTCTCCAGTCCTCATTTTGTATCTTTTCTTTTTAATTTTTAAAAAATTTTATTATGTGTATGAGTGTATTCCCTACATGTATGTAAGTGCACCCATATTGTACAATGCCTGTGGAGGTCAGGAGAGGGTATCGGATCCCCTGGAAATGGAGTTATAAAAATAGTTGTTAGCTGCCATGTTGGTGCTGGAAACTGAACCCTCGTCCTTGGTAAGACCAGTCAGTGCTCTTAACCTCTGAGCCGTGTTTCCAGGGCCTCATTTTCCTCATTTTGTGTCTTTTAAGTTTAATTTTGTTGTTGTTTGAATGTTGGTACTAAGGACTGGAGATCAAACACATCACCGTACACATGCATACTATAATAAGCATTAGCCTCATGCAAAATTTACTATTTAAACAATTTTTTTTTTTTTACCTTTTCAGAATCTGCTGGATGATGTAGAAGAGTTTCATCAACGTGCCCAGGAGGCCATGATGGATGAAACCCCAGATTCTGCCAAACTCCAGATGTTGATAGACACAGGCTCTAGTCTTTATGTGGAACTACCTGAATTGCCTCGACTCAAGCAAGAGCTACAGCAGGCTCGGTGGCTGGATGAAGTAAGACTGACCCTGTCAGACCCTCAGCAAGTCACTTTGGATGTCATGAAGAAGCTGATTGACTCTGGGGTAGGGTTAGCACCACACCATGCCGTGGAGAAAGCAATGGCTGAACTACAGGAGTTGCTTACAGTCTCTGAACGATGGGAAGAGAAGGCTAAAGTCTGCCTGCAGGCAAGGTAAGCACATTTTGGTGACAGTTATCTCTTTAATAACTAGGTCAGAAAGTAGAATGAGAAGGGGGAACATCAAATCAAAGATTAATTCATTAAATGTTAAAAATCTGTATTTTGTGCCTTCTTGACCAATCAATAACTTACCAAGAGGGACTGCATGTAGAGTTTCAGATCTGTCCAGATTGTTGTATAATGCATTTTGTTAAGTAACTGTGATAGGAGATAGTATTTTGTTTAAAGCCCATGTTAATGATATAGTTAGGAACAAAGAATTATAAAATGTTCATTGAATATGGTATTAATAGTAAAAGGTACAGAAAAATGTTATAGGAATTCAGAGGTAAGATCTTGGTGAGTTTGTGTGCTCACTTGAAAACCTTCAGAGAAAAATCAAAATTTAGGTAAAGCTTTAAAGTTAGTAGGATTAAAGTGGAAGGGAAATATGGAGATAAGGAATATGTAGGGTATATTCTGATAAACAGAAAATAAACGAACTTTATTGTAATGGAAAGTAATGAAACTGAAGGGTGAAATAGTTCCATTAGATCAGCCCCCATCATTGCCTAATTTAGCTAGTACTTAGTATTTGTTGAAAACATTTCTGTATCAGTTAAGGTGAATATTTATGTAATTTTCTTTTTTGAGTAAGGAACCTGGGTGGTTAGGTTACGTGGTTAAATGACACAGCTGAAATTTAGTTGCTTATTTCTGCCCCAAATCTTGATGCGTTTATTACTTTGCCAATCTCTCTTTTAATAGGAAACACTTCAGGTGACTTAATATTTGCTTAGTTAGGAGGAACAGTTGTGCATCCCAGATATTTTGTTCTCTAGGTGCCATGCAGAGTACATACCAAAATTTGTATCTTTTCCTGTCCTAAGTATTCACATAATTGTGTCTTTGGAATTGTGACAGTTCTTGGAGAAAGGAGCATCTTAAATGGAGAAAGGAAATGATTTTGGAATAAGAAACTGATTTGATCTATTTCATGCAACTAAGAAACTCTGATTTGCTTTCTCTTCATTCTACTAAATGAAGTTTTGCTGGTAGTAATTTTTGAAGCCTGTCTTTCCCCACCCTCCATCTCCTGTATTTGATCAGTCATAATGCTCTGATGATTTTGCCCCCAAAATGTTTTGTTCTCTGTTCCAACTACATTGCCATTGACCTATGATAATCCTTTTATGTTTCCCTTGATTTTTGTAGTGCAGGGTTGAATGAAGTACATGTCATCACTAAGTTCTGTGAGGACAGTAGTTGAACAAGACACACACAATCCCAGCACTCATTGAGCTAATAATATTCTAGTGAGGATAGATGGATAAGTGAATTTCAGTTAATTATTGGTGATGTTGGTAGAGATAATGGGAACTAGGTTCTTTTGAATTCTGTCAGAATTAGCTTTTTGAGGGGCTGGAGAGATGGCTCAGCGGTCGAGGCCAGCCTGGTCTACATAGTGAGTTTCAGGACAGCTGGGGCTACAAGGAAACCCTGTCTCAAAAAAAAAAGACACAAAAACAAAAAAGAAAAGATTTTAAAAATCTCATTTATTTTTTATGTGTATGACTGTTTTGTCTGCATGTATGTAAGTGCACCCTGTGCATGCAATACCCATGCATGCCAGAAGTGGGCAGAGGATCCCCTGGAACTGAAGTTAAGGATGGGTGTTAGCTGACGGTGGATGCTGGGAACCAAACCTAGATCCCCTCAAAGAGCCATAAGTGCTCTTAACCACTGAGCCATCTCTCCAGCCCTGTTTGTTTTGAGACAGGGTCTCACTGTGTAAGCCTTGCTAGACTGGAGCTTTGTGTGTAGACCAGGCTGGCCTTGAACTCACAGAGATCCGGCCAACTCTCTGTGCCAAGGAAGTACTTTGATATCATTTAACTTTGACCCTTCCTATTTCCTTATTCTGAGTCATGTTGCTTTTTCTTTCTTTTTTTTTTTTTTTTTAATTTTGTTTTCCAGTGTTGATTGATTAACTGCTTGATTTTTGCAGTACTGGAGACTGAGCATAATGCCTGTGTATTATGCCAGTAAGCTGTGTCCCCAGCCTATAAGTTCATTATTTTATCTTCATTCAATACATAGGGACGTTAGGGTTGATATAATTATTTTTGTCTTAATCCTTTGAAAATGTTACTCCTGTTTTGAAGAATAGTTTTACTTGGGCTACTTGGGGGATTATTGTTTGCCTGTCATTCCTCTCACACTGCTGTCATGGCATATCTTTTTGTGGTCTTACCCTCTCCAGTCTACTCTGTACACTGCCACTACTGTTGTTTTAAATAGAAATGTCACTGTTTTTATTCCCTTGTTCTGAATCTGAACTGGCTTCCATAGCCTTCAATATGAGGTCCAAATTTCTTAACCTGATTCATAAGACTATTTGTCATCCAGTCCTTTACATTAATTTTAGATCTTGCCTCATTTTTTGTCATTATTCTTGCATGCTCCAAATATAGTGATTCCCATCCCCTCCCCAACCCACCTCAGTGCCTCAAACATTCCATGCTTTCTTCATACCTTTATACATTTGTTTCCTCTACCTATACCATCTGTAGTAAACTTCTACCACCCTACCCTGTCCATGGCTCTATCATTTCTAACTCTTATTTAAAAAGGATGAAAAAACTTAAACGTCACTTCTGAAAAGCCTCCTTTCACTGACAAGTCAGTCAAGTTCTCCTGTTCTGTTTTGTTTGTGTTTTTGAGACAGGCTCTCACTGTGTAACTTTTGCTGGCCTGGAGCTTGCTGTGTAGATTAGACTGGCCATGAACTCAGAGCAATCCACCCACCTTTGCCTCCCAGGTGCTGGAATTATAGGTGTGTGCCACCATGCCTGCCCTGTGGTTAAGGGCACCTTTTTTCTTTATAATATATCACACACATTATAGTAAGTCCTTATTAATAGTCCTACTCACATGTCTGGGTGTATTGGCTCATGCCTATACCCCTAGTACTTGATAGAGACAGAAGGATCAGTTCAATGCCAGTCTTTGCTACATAATGATTTTGAGGCCTTTTATTACCCTGAATTCGTCTATTTACTTTTTCATTACATAGAGTTATATACTTGTGAGGGCTGGAGGGATGGCTCAGCAATTCAGAGCACTAGCTGCTCTTACAGAGGCCCCGGGTTCAATTCTCAGCCAACATGGTGGCTAACAACTGTCCATAACTCCGGTTCCAGGAGATCCAGTGCTGTTTTCTGATCTCCATAGGCATTGCATGACACAGGTGCACTTACACACATACAGGTAAAATACACTTATACACATAAAATAAAAATAATAAATAAAATATATATTTTTTAATTGTATACTTGTTTAAGGCCTGGGCCATAGCACTTTCAACTCTCAATTACTGCTATGAGCTATGAGCTTATAGTAATTTGTTCCTTGGACTCAGTATAATTCTTTTTAATTTTTGGTCTTTTTGAGACAGGGTCTCCCTATAGCCCCAGCTGGCCTGGCACTTGCTGTGTAGACCAGGTTGGCCTTGAACTCACAGAGATCCACCTGCTTCTGCCTCCCAAGTGCTGGGACTAAAGGCATGCGCCATCACTTCTGGCTTCTTCTTAATGCTATTAATGTGAATAAGGTTTTGTTTTATTAATCAGTGAATGACTATATATTAATGAATGTAGTTGAAATAAATGTACATAATCAGCATGAGTGGATTTCTATCCTATTGCTCTTTGTGTTGCTAGCCCATGCACATTTTTGACTGTTGCAGATATTATAGAGAGGTAGAGTAGAGGTGGTTGAGGGCTGAGTATTAAAAGGAGTCTGGGGGCTGGAGAGATAGCTCAGTGGTTAAGAGCACTGTCTGCTCTTGCAGAGGACCTGGGTTTAATTCCCAGCATACACATGGTAGCTAAGAACCATCTGTAACTCCAGTTCCAGGGGATCTGACACCCTCTTGTGACCTCTGAGGGCATTGCACGACATGGGTGCACGTACACACATGCAAGCAATACCCTAATACACATAAAATAAAAATAATAAATAATTTTTTTTAAGAGTCTGGAGCCAGGACTCATTCTGAATCCATACTTCAGGTGTGTTATTTACTTATACTAAATGATTTTAGGAGGGATGATTTGCCTTTTTTTTTTTTAATTTATTTTCTTTGAGCTAAAGTTTTCTTGTCTGTAGAATGTAAATTAAAATGATACCTGCTTTTTTGCCTTTAGGATTATGATAAGAATTGTAATGAGTTCATGTATGAGAAAGTTATTTACACATCATAAAATGTTATTTTAATGCTGATAGTATTGGACTTTTTCTTAGTATCTTACTGTTTTTATTGTTCATTTAGACCTCGGCACAGTATGGCAAATTTAGAAAACATTGTGAATGAAGCCAAGAACATTCCAGCCTTTTTACCCAATGTGTTGTCCCTAAAAGAAGCCTTGCAAAAGGCTCGTGAATGGACAGCTAAAGTGGAAGCTATTCAGGTAAAGAGACTTTGGGATTATTTTATCCATCAGGTAATAACTTGGTACAGTTAAATCATGTGAACGTTTACTTTAGAATAATCATAACAAAATAATAATAAAGTTCATTTATTCTCTTTGACTTTATAATTCAAAACAAATACTATTTAAACATTACTAGTTTTGGTTAGGAAAGGTGACGGGGTTGGCTATTCAACTTTCCCAGAAAGGGGCATTTTATTTATTCATTCATTTAGTTATTTATTTTATTTTAACTTATTTGGTCTTTTTGAGACAGGGTCTCTCTCTAGCCCTAGCTGGCCTGGAACTTACTGTGTAGACCAGGCTGGCCTTGAACTCACAGAGATCCACTTGCCTTTGCCTCCCAAATGCCAGGATTAAAGGCGTGCAACACCATACCTGGCTCTTTGTTTTTTATAATTATTTTTTTATTTTTTATGTATATGTATATTTCACCTGCATGTATGTAAGTCCACCGTGTCATGCAAACCTGTGGAGCCCAGAAGAGAGCATTAGAGCCCCTGGAACTGGAGTTATAGGCAGTTGTTAACTGCCTTGTTGGTTCAGGGAACTGAACCTGGGTCTCCTCTTAACCACTGAACCATCTGTCCGTCCTGTTGATTATGTTTTTAAATTTTACTTTTATGTTTTTGAGTGTTCTGCCTGCATATGTGTAAGCGTATAATGTACAGGCAGTGCCCATGAAGGCCAAAAGAGAGTTTCAGATCCCCTGGAACTAACGTTAAGGTTGGTTGTTAACTGCAGTGTAGATGTGAGGAACCAAATTCGTGTCCTCTGCAATAGCAGTAAGTGCTCTTACTTGTTGAGTCATCTCTCCAACCCCTCAAATTGTGTTCTACTCTTAAGATGTTTGCTTAATTAAAATTTTTCCTTCTGGGACTGGAGAGATAGATGGCTTAGCCATAAAGAGCACTGGCTTCTCTTGCAGAGGACCCAAGATGATTCCCAGCACCCACATGGCAGCTAACAACTGTCTGTAACTCCAGTTCCAGGGGAATCTGACACTCTCTTCTGCCTCTATGAACATTGCACGATACTGGTGCACTTACATACATGTAGGCAGTACACTTATACACATAAAATAATAATATTTAAAACGTTTCTTTCTTTGACAATTTATGTTTTCCAAAGTCATCCTATAATAAGCAGTCTATACATTAACAACCTTTTTACAATTCTTAAATTTTAAAATGTTTTATCAGTTAATTATCCTACAAAAACAGAAAGGGATTTAGTACTTGTATTCTTTGACTTTTTTTCCATGTGCATGAATTACTTTTAAAAAGGAAGAGGGCCTGGGGAATGGTTCAGCAGGTTAAGCAGTTGGCACGCAAACCTGACAGCTTGAGTTCAGATCCCAAGATCCCATGTAAAAGCCAGACGAGGTGGTATAAGAGTCTGTAATCCTAGCATGCCTATGGGAAATGCGAGGAGACCTGAGAATCTGCAGAAGCTCGGAGCCTGCCAGTTTAGCCTATGCAGCAATGTTGAAGAGATCTGGTCTCAAACAAGATGGAAAGGCAAGGAACAGCACATGTGCACTGTGGCATACATATGTCACACATATCTTACAATTCAGAGTAGAGTGAAATCAATACTGGAAAAATGCTAGAATTACTAAAAACCATTAGTAGTATCTAGAATGTTAGGGGCTGGAGTGGAGAACAGCTCTTTCCAGTGAACTGCTGTTGCAGGAAAGAGCATACTGTCCTAGCTGTAACTGTACACCCCTGTAATCCCAGCAGTTGAGAGTTACAAGCTGGAGGATCAGTATTAAGGTTATCCTTGAACTATTGTAGGCAGGTGGGTATTCTCAGTATCTGATAATTTTCATTGACTATGATTGAAAGACCAAGGTAAGGACCAGCAAGATGGCTCAGCACATAAGATGCCTGGTGACCTGAGTTTGATTCTCAGAACCCCATATGTCGGAAGTGGAAAACTGACTCCCACGGTTGTCCTCTGACTTTCACACATGTCATGGCACACTTGAATCCATACACATACACATAAATAAACAAATGTTTAAAAAAGGATCAGGTTAACACTGGAGCTGATGATGTCTCTAGTATGTACAAGGATCAGGGTCTGGGTTCCATCCCCCGTTTTGCATTAAAAAAGGAAGTTAACATTAAACTTTTTCTAAGTTCTTCCAACAGGTATATTGTCAGACTCCATGAGAAAATTCAAACTGTGTCTGAATCTACGTTTTTCCCCCCAGAGTGGCAGTAACTATGCCTACTTGGAGCAGCTTGAGAGCTTATCTGCTAAAGGACGCCCTATCCCTGTGCGTCTTGATGCATTGCCTCAAGTGGAATCCCAGGTAGCAGCAGCACGGGCCTGGAGAGAAAGGACTGGGCGGACCTTCCTTAAGAAGAATTCCAGCCACACTTTGTTACAGGTAAAGTGTAGTTCATGTACTCACACTTAGCCCTCTCACTAGCAGTTGATATATCAATACCTATAGTAGCATTGATAAAAAGTGGTTTTCAGTCCATTTAGCCATTATTAGAAGTGATTCCTGTTAGGGAACCTCAGATGTTGACTTGAAATCTGGAGGTTTAGACAATCTATTTTCTCTCTAACCCATGCTATATCTAGAAAAGGCAACCAGCATATATTTTGTCTCTGTTACTGAAAGAGCTTCTGTCTCAGAAACACTGATCCTTTTTATTTTGTACAGTTCAATACAGTAGTTAAAGAGGATAGATAGTTTTTAGGTTTTAGTACTGGCTCCCTAATAATGAAACCTTTGCACCTTGGGCAAGTTATTCCCTTTTTGAGTCTTTCTCTTGTCTGTAAAGTCTGGGAAGTATAGAATTGTGAAGATTTAATTAGATAATATGTATTAAGTCCTTATGGTACCTAGACCCTGGGTATGGTAGTGTAATCTTAGCACTCAGGAGGCTGAAGCAGAAGGATTGCCAAAAATTACAGGCCAGCCTGGGCTACATAATTAATTTTAGGCTGGCTTGGGCTAACAGAGTAAGATCCTGCCTCTAAAAACACCAAAATAAAAATTAAATGAATAAATCACTAATATGCTACTTTGGGCATGGTGAATGGTTAATGGTAATGGTTCCTCTTACTGTTTTTACTTTAAAAGTTTTTTTTCTCTTTTGAAACTAGATTTTTTTTTTTTTTTTAATCTTTTGCAGGTGCTAAGTCCCCGCACTGACATTGGTATATATGGGAGTGGTAAAAACAGGAGGAAAAAAGTAAAAGAATTAATAGAAAAAGAAAAAGAGAAGGACCTAGACCTTGAGACTTTTAGTGATTTGGAAGAAGGACTGGAGGAAACCAGAGATACAGCTATGGTGGTAAGCAACTATGTAGTTTACCTTGAACTTTCATGAATTCAAAATTCTGTGAAGATGTTAGCGGGTTTTAAGCTATGTTAATTTTCATGTAACATGGGTGTGTATGTGTGTGTGTGTCTATTGATAGTGCAAAAAGTTTGCTGTTTGGCTTTCTTCCCCAAATTTGTTTTCCCACATCTATTCTTTCTTTTAGGAAGTTGGGGAGACTGCTACCAGGGATTGAACCTAGAAACTGGTCAAGCTTTCTACCACTGAGCTATATCTCCTAGCTCCACATCTATTCTTTTTTATTTTTTAATAGTTGTATAATAGTCCATCAGAGTTGTTCATATTTTACAGAGTAATGAATGGTTTGTGTGTGTGTGTGTGTGTGTGTGTGTGTGTGTGTGTGTGTGTTCAGCCTAGACAACAAAAGAGATGATTTATTATATGCAGGTTACACTTGGCCACAAGTGAGAACAGAACTAATACAGAGTGCCACAGATTCAGAGTAGAGAGTCGGCAGGGACTGCTTTGGTTGTAAACAGAATCGTGTGGTCTCTGTGATTAGATCTTGACATGGCATTCCAGATCCATTGAGATAGATTATCAGCAGTAGCATGCAGTCCAATAATTTGTATCAGCCTCTGGCATTGCTTCTTTCTGCTCTTTTAAGCCTCCCTGAGTGCATAAACTAGTTTATTTGAACTTCTACTTTATCCTTCTCTTGAGATTTAGCCTGTGCATTTGCTTCTTCCTCCACTTGACTCTTATGGTGTAGGAGTTTGAAGGAAGATGGTGCTAAGGCCAAGAGCACCAAAGCTTTTTGGGTTGTTTGTTTGGAGATAGGGTCTCATTCTGTAGCCTTGGCTGAACTGCAGTTCACAGAGATCCACCTGCGACTGCCTCCCAAGTGCTGAGATTAAAGGCCTGTACCACCACACTTGATCCTAAGCAGTTTGATTTGTCTTTTTGTGGGGCTTGGGATTGAATGTAGGTCTCTTTGCGTGCTAAGTAAATGCTCTCCCGCTGCTATACCCCACCTGCTCAGTTGTTTTCTCATGTTGAGCATTTTGCCTGTTACTAAGCTTTCTGTTAGAGATATGAAAATGAACTTTGTGTAAATTTCCTTTTTTCACCTCAAATATTTGTCATTTATTTGTGGTGAAATAATTTAAAGTCATTTTTTTAGTTATCTTGAAATAAGATAATACATTATTAACCATTGGATTCATGAAAGCTATTCTTAAGTTCTTGTGTGTTTTGCCTGCATGTAAGTGTCCTACCACATGTGTGAAATACCTGCAGAGGCCAGAAGAGGGTGTGAGATCCTTTGGACAGCTGTTAGCCACCATGCAGGTGCAGGGAGTCCTAACCCATGTCCTCTGCACCAGTGCTCTTAACTGCTAAGTTCTCTCTCCAGCCCCTCTTCAGCTATTTTTAAAAAAAAGTTTATTATTTTTATTTGTGTATATGAGTGTAATGCCTGCATGTAGGTGGGTGCACCCATGTCATGCAATGCCAGTGGAGGTCAGAAGAGGATGTCGGATCCCCTGTAACTGGAGTTACAGCTGGTTGTTAGCTGCCCAACATGGTTGTAGGTGCTGGGAACTGAACCCAGGTCCTCTGCAAGAGCAGCCAATGCTCTTAACTGTTGAGCTATCCCTCCAGCCCCTGTCCACCTATTTTTAAGGTTTTTCTTTTTCTTTTCTTTTTTTTAGAATAGTTCTAATTCATTGAGAGTTGAGTGAAAGGCATAGGGATTTTCCATGCATTCTCTGCCTTCACCTCGTAGCCCATTTCATTTTCCTAAACTTGACCCCTAGGAATGGACTTGCTGGGTTAGGTTTAATAGCATCTTATGGCTCTTCATATATTCTACTCTTCAAAAGAACTGCACCAACTTGCTGATGCCTGTTACTTCAAATAAATTTTCCCTCTCATTAGCATCCAACAGTACTGTGAGTGTTCAGTAAAATATTTGTGATGAGAGCTGTGCTTTTCAAAATTTTAGAATAGGAAAAGTGGATTAAGATTATTAGGAACCTGAAAAATAGAGTAAAAATAAAGATGACTTTTGGAAATACATAATTCTAGGGAATGCCATGCACTGAATAACTTGATTGGGCTCTTTCTACATACAAATGATCCAGTTTGGGGGCCAAAGAAAATGATCTTTCATTAACTGAACCTGCCTAATAAATCAGAAGAAAGTAAAACTGGAAATTATTTCAGAATTGTTCAGAGCCACCAATAATTTAAAATATATATATTTATGTTTTTTCTTTTTTCTTTTTTCTTTTTTTTTTTTTTTTTTTTTTTTTGGTCTTTTTGAGACAGAGTCTCCCTGTAGCCCCAGTTGGCCTGGAACTTACTATGTAGACCAGGCTGGCTTCAAGCTCACAGAGATCTGCCTGCCTCAGCCTCCCACATTATGATCTTTTTAATTAAAAAATTTTTATGTGTATGTGCCTGCATGTGTGTACACCATGTATATACAGATGCCTGCAGAGGTCAGAAGACAGCCTTGAATCCCCTCCAACTGGGCTTACAGGCAGTTGTGAGCCACCGTGTGGCTTCTGGAACTAAACCCAGGTTCTTTGCAAGAGCAGGCTGTGCTCTTAACTGCTGAGACATATCTCCAGCCCTCAATATATATATAAGACTCTCTATCTGTTTCTATTTATCTCTCCGAGACAGGATATCACTATGTAGTTCTGACTGGCCTGAAATTCACTATTTAGACCAAGCTGGCCTCAAACTCTCAGCAATCTTTCTGCCTCTGGAACACTGGGATTAATGTCATGTTCCACTATACCCAGCCTTGTATTTATGATCTTTAAATTGTGTTTGCTCTTATTTACTTTGTTAAAATGAAAATAAAACACTGTTTTAATTGATCATCAAGCTTTGTTCTCCCAAATGAAATATGGAGATCTTCCAGAGAAAAGTAAACTTTTATCATACAGAGCTTTCCCTTAGGGAATGAATTAAAAGGAAATGGGAAAACCAGTGCATATTGAGTATTTATGTTGCATTGGGCATCAAGTTAGGCACTTTGGTCTTACTGTATTTAATCCTTAAAGCAATAAAATGAGGTTGGTGACAATTCTGCATTTTTCAGAAAACTGAAATCCAGAAAAGTTGTGCTGCACATCAACAGTCTGTAAGTTCAAGAGCCAGGGTTGGTATCCAGGTTACTTGATTTCAACAAATACCCCCTTTATATTGTACCCTATAGAAGAATTCAATGACAGTATTGTGATGTAAATCGTCAAAAAGAATAGCAGTTTGTCCATTTCACAGATGACAAATATTTGTGTGGAAGCTACAAGAATAACCCAAATTTTGGGAAATTGCAACTTTTTTTTTTTTTCAAAAGTAAAGGCAGTATTTTGTTATCATGAGACTAGAACATTGAGAAACATTCCCCAGCCTTGAGCATTTGATATTTTGGAGTATTTTAGAATGACTCCTTTCAATTAAATGTTTGTTTTGGACAGGTGGCAGTTTTCAAAGAACGAGAGCAAAAGGAGATTGAAGCCATGCATTCCCTCAGAACAGCCAACCTAGCCAAGATGACAATTGTGGACCGCATAGAAGAAGTAAAATTTTGTGTTTGTCGCAAGACAGCCAGTGGGTTTATGCTCCAGTGTGAGCTTTGCAAAGACTGGTTCCATAACAGCTGTGTTCCCCTTCCTAAGTCAAGTTCCCAGAAGAAGGGATCCAGCTGGCAGGCTAAAGAAGTAAAATTCCTTTGCCCTCTTTGCATGCGGTCTCGAAGGCCCAGGCTAGAAACTATCTTGTCACTCCTGGTATCCCTTCAGAAGCTGCCTGTGCGGTTGCCAGAAGGAGAGGCACTGCAGTGTTTGACAGAACGTGCCATGAGTTGGCAAGATAGAGCACGGCAGGCCCTAGCCACAGATGAACTGTCTTCTGCCCTAGCCAAACTCTCTGTGTTAAGCCAGCGTATGGTGGAACAAGCAGCTCGAGAAAAAACTGAAAAGATCATCAGTGCAGAACTTCAAAAAGCAGCTGCCAATCCAGACTTACAGGCAAGCTTATAATTTATTTTCTTTTCCTGTTTCACATTGTATTTGTCAGTATGTGACTAGTAAATCAAATGTTATTTAACCAGTTGACTTAGGGAAACAATTTGCCTGCAGTTACATGATCTGTAGCAGTTTCTTCCTTCTGTGTAGGCTTAGAGCTTTTCCCCGCCTCAGTAAAAATCCAGATCATTTAGTTACATATCACCTGAAAATATTCAGGTGAATCTTAACTTTATAATCAAATAATTTAGTTTTTACTCATGGTTGAAGTCTGTTAGCTGCTTTTTAAGTTGATTTCATTTTTGGTGGTGTTAAACATTTATTAACTGTCTATGATTGTTTAGCCTCTCTGTTTATTTATCTTTGTTGTTTAGGGACACTTGCCTAGTTTCCAGCAGTCTTCTTTTAACCGGGTGGTCAGCAGTGTATCATCTTCCCCCCGCCAAACAATGGACTATGACGATGAAGAAACAGATTCCGATGAAGATATTCGGGAAACATATGGCTATGACATGAAGGTAATTACAAGGACAGACTAGGGATTTGTATCTTTTTGGTGGGTTGTATTTAAAAAGCTACTGGTATCACCACTAAAATACCTTGAGCAGCAGCGAGAAAATCATTTCTTAGGGAAATGTTTCTCATGGATCTTTTGAAGTTGTGCTGGGATAAAGTATCCCACTCTTCACCCCACTGTGCATCCTTAGCCCTGATTATTTCTTTTAAGGCTTATTATTTACCTTTACCAAAACTCCCCATGTCACAATTTATATTTGCAAGTGTGTGTGTGTGTGTGTGTGTGTGTGTGTGTGTGTGTGTGTATAATATGTCAGAAAGGATATAGAATCTAGTAGCTTATTCCCCAGGAAGTTCCTTTATGTATGCCTGTAATTGGTTATTTTAGAAAAAGGTAAGCTAAGCAGTTACATTTTTTTCCATCTTTTTCAGACAGGGTCTCCCTGTAGCCCCAGCTGGCCTAGAACTCAGTGTGTAGACCAGGCTGGCTTAGAACTCACAGAGATCCCAAGTGCTGGGATTAAAGGCGCGTGCCACCATGTCCAGTCTAGCAATTACATTCTTAAACATTTTCTCAGTATTATGATAGGGCCAACATTGCTCCTTTTGCTCAGAAATGTTTTGGCTATTTGGGATCTTTTTTATTTCCATATGAATTTTAGGATATTTTTGAATCTCTGTGAAGGACATCATTGAATTGCATTGAATCTATATCTCTCTTTTGGTAATTTTCACAATATTAATTCTGTTAATTGATGAAGGTGGAAATTGTTTCATCTGTTGTCTTCTTAAGTTTCTTCAGTGTTCTTTTTAGGAAAAGTTTTCAGTGTAGAAGTCACCTAATTTCTCTCAGCATGTTCATTATCATTATCAGGATGTGGAAAACTAGTGATTTTTATTTTGGGGGTGTATGTGTGTATACCTGTTTGTATGTACAGACATAAGTGAAGGTCAGAGGAGGTTGATTAATAGCTGCTATTTTCCTTGCTTTTCACTGTGTATGTGTGTCGGGGGGGTGGGGAGGATGGTGTGCATGCTTGCCATGTGCATTGGGACACAGAGGTCCGAAGTTTACATTGGATGCAACTTTCCATTTTATTTATTGAGGCTCTTGCTGAACCTGGAGCTGGTAGATTCCAGCTAGTCTAGGTAGTCCACTTGGCCCAGGGAATGCCCTCTTTCTGTTTCCTGAATGCAGGTGGCTGCCTTACCTTCGCAGGTTTCACGTAGGTTCTCAGCCATCCAGTGGAGACTTTAGGATCTTTCAAATTCAGGATTACATTTTCTGCAAATAGGGATAATTTGATATATTTTTTATTTCTATTTACTGCTCAGGCTAAGAATTAAAGCACTATATTGAATAAGAGTTAAGAGACTAGATATCTTTGTATTGTTCTTTTTTTCTTTTTTTTTTCTTTCTTTTTTTTTGGTCTTTTTGAAACAGGGTCTTCCTGTAACCCCAGCTGACCTGGAACTCACAGAAATCCGCCTGCCTCTGCCTCCTGAATGCTGGGACTGCAGGCCTGCATTACCATGCCCAGCTAAAAGTATTTAATCTTTTTTCTTTAATTTTTTTTTATTATTATTTTTACTTTATATGTGTATTGCCTGCATGCATGTAAGTGCACCTGTGTTGTGCTATGTATGCAGAGGACAGAAAAGGCCATCAGATCCCCAAGAACTGGAGTTACAGTTATTAGCTGCTGTGTGGGTGCTGGGATTCGAACCTGGGTCTGCTGCAAGAACAGTCAGTGTTCTTAACCTAGCCTGGAACTCACTATATAAACGAGGCTGGCTTCAAACTCACAGAGATTTGCCTGCCCCCGCTTCGCTTCCTGACTGCTGGGACTAAAGGCATGCGCCACCATGCCCGTGTATTGTTCTTAACTGTAGAAGACATACTTACAGTTTTTCTTTGTTTAGTGTAATGTTGGCTTACTGATTTATCATATAGCATTATGTTCATATATTGTTCTTTGTACTTCTAGTTTCTTTCTTTGAAGGGATGTTAAACCTTGTTAAAGACATTTTGTGTATGTATAGAGATGATGATGTGAATTATTTCCTTCATTTTATTTATTATTTGATAGATATGGGGTCATCTTTGTATCCCTGGAATGAAACCAACTAGATTGTGGTATATGATTTTTTCTTTAAATGTGTTGAATTGAGTTTGCAAGTTTGTTGAAAATATTTATATCTGCCTTCATTACCAAAGTTGGCATACTGTTTTCTTTTTTGTTGTCTTTTAATCTTTGGTGGTGTTGGGAATTAAACCTAGAGTCTTGTGAATTTTAGCCAAGTACTCTACCACTGAGCTATAATTCAGTCCTTTCTTACCTTTTGAGACCAGGGTCTCAGTATATTGCCTAGGCTGACCTTGAACTTGTGATCCTCCTAACCTCAGCTATAGCCAGGACTCTAGGACTATGCTTCCATGCTTGGTTTGGTTGTGTTCTTATCTGTTTTGGGTTTCAGGGTAAAATGGGTTTGGCATTACTCCTCCTCTTTCTGTTTTCTGGAATAGTTTAAGGAGTATTGCTGTTAATTCTCCTTTCAGTGTGTAGGAGAATTCATCAGTAAATCTGTCTAGGCTTGGGCATTTTTTCAAAATGTTTTATTATTTTTATTTTATGTGTGTGAGTATATTGCCTGTGTCTTACTTTGTTCTTCCTTGCTGTGACAAAATACTCTGACCACTACCAACTTGGGGAGGAAAGGGTTTACTTAGCTTACATATCCCAGGTCACAGTTCATCCAGGAGCCCAAGGTAGGAACTCAGGGCAGGAACCTGGAGGCAGGAGCTAGAGCACAGGCCATGGAGGACCACTGCTTGCTGGCTTGCTCCCCTGGCCCCTGCTCAGCCTGCTTTCTTATGCAACACAGGTCCACCTGCCCAGGAATGGCACCACCCACAGTGGGCTGGGCCCTCCCACATCACTCATCAAGAAGATGCCCCTCAGACATGGTCACAGGCCAGTCCAATAGAGGTGACAATTGAGGCTCCCTCAACCCAGGTGTGTCAAGTTGACACTAAAGCTATCCAGCACAGCCTGCATATATGTAAGGGCACCTGAGTCCTACAGTGCCCACAGAGGTTAGAAGAGGGCATTAGATCCTCTCAAACTGGAGTTACTGACAGTTGTTAGCTACCATGTGGGTCCTGGGAATTGAATCCAGGTCCTCTGTAATAGCAGCCACTGCTCTTAACTGCTGAGCCATCTCTCCAGCCCCTGGGCTTAAAATGTTTTTAATTGCTTTTGCAATTTTTCATAAAAAAATTACTGTTACGTGTGAGTGCAAATGTGTGTGTGTGTGTGTGTGTGTCTGTGTCTGTGTCTGTGTCTGTGTCTGTGTCTGTGGTATATGTATGGTCTGGGCATTAAACTTGGCTCATTTATTCTTGAACATTTCATACATGTATATTGTAAAATATGGTTATGTATGCTCCCTATTTGCCTCCAACTCCCCTATATACCCCCCCAACATGTCCTCCTAACTTCATGTAACCCTTTAAGTCTTCCCAGTGTGGGTAGTGCACACCTTTCATCCCAGAATGCAGAAGACAGAAGCAGATGGGTCTGAAATTGAGGTCAGCCTGGTCTACATAGAAAATTTCAGACTGGCTGGAGCTATAGGGAGACCCTGCCTCAAACAACCCACTAAGTCCAGTTAGTGCTACCTATATGTGCATGGGTATTAGGACCACCTACTGGACCAATGGGAAACCTACCAGTGGGAACACCCTCAAAAAAGAATAATTCTCCCTCCCGCAGCAGCTGTCAATTCTCAGTAGCTCCCAAGTAAGGGAAGAGCATCTCCTCCATCTGTGCCAGAATTTTGGCTGGCTTGATCTTGTGCAGGTCTTGTGCAAGTAACCACAGCTGCTGTGAGTTTGTGAGTGCAATAACCATGCCGTGTTCAGAAGACAGCATTTCACAGTGGTCCTCTCCATCCTCCAGCTCTTAAATTCTTTCTGCCTCCTTGTCCTCTATATTCCTTAAGCCTTAGCAGGGGTGTACGGGGTGGGTGATTGATAATGAAGTCCCATTTAGGGCTTAGCATTGAGTTTCTTATTCTCAGCACTTTGACCAATTGTATGTCTCTACATCAACTGCTTCCCACTGTAAAAAGCTCTCTGGCCAAGATTGAGAACAGCTGAGGTATGGGAGTAAATACTGATATTTAGAAGATAGTTCGACAGCATGACCATTTAACAAGTGAGACCAGGTTCTACCCCTAGGGTCTATGACTTCTCTAAATATGGACTTTTTGATCTGGATTATGGTACCAGGCATGAAATTTTTTCCTGGGGAGCAGGTCTCACATCCAATCAGAAAGCACTTACCCCATAACAGTTGTGCCATTTTTGTGCCAGTGAGCATATCTTGCATGACTGGCAGATCAGTATTGTAGCATGTAGAGTCCAGTGCTGGGTAATACCACTGATGCCTTTTCTCCCCTAGCAACCTATGTAGAACCTTCTGGCACTATGAAGGTTACCCAACTGGTAGAAAATTACTTGTGGGTTTGAGATTGATTTCTCTGTGTCCTACAGCTAACATGTATGGTGTCTTCAGCTATAGGGTTTTACCATGTAATCAAGGTGGTGGTAACCAAGGATAATGGCAATAGCCTGTTCTGTTTTGAAGACCTCTGGAGCCTCCCTCGATTAAATTTTAGTGGCTGTACATGTTTAGATTTTTTCTAGATTTCCAATGTATTGAAATACAAGATTTTTAACTATTCCTTAATGTTCCTCTGGCTTTTATTGGTATCTCTTAAATGTTTCTTTTTCATCTCTGATTTTATTAATTGGGCCTTTTTTCTCATGATTAGTTTGGCTAAGAGTTTGTCACTCTTAGCCTTAATTTTTCAAAGAGCCAATTTTATTGAGTCTTCATTTTACTCTTGGTCTCCATTTCATTAGTTTCATACTGATATTATTCCTTTATGTCTACACACTGTGAGTTTGACTTATTCTTGGTTTTCTAAGAGAGTGAAGTGCATCATAAATTGTTTCAGTTCTCTGTGATGTCTTTTTTTTTTAAGATGTCAACTTTTGGGGCTGGAGAGATGGCTCACCAGTTAAGAGCACTGACTGATTTTGCAGAGGACCCAGGTTTGATTCCCAGCATCCACATGGTGGCTATGAACTGTCCTTAACTCCAGTTCCAGGAGAATCCAAAGCTCTCTTCTGACCTCCATGGCGTTGCATGATATGGGTGCACTCACATACATCCAGGCAATACACTCATACACATAAAATAAAAATAAAAAAAAGATTTCAACTTTTATTTTATGTGTATGAATGTTTTACCTACAGGTATGTAAGTGTACTGTGTGTGTCTGCAAAAGTTAGAAGAGGGCATCAAATCTCCAGGAACCTGGGTTACGGACAGTTGTTAGCTACCATGTGGGTGCTGGGAACTAAACCTGGGTCCTCTGCAAGAACAGCCAGTGCTATT